ACACAAAGGTGCCCTACAGGAGATATACATGATCCTGCAACGAAGCCTCACACTATGTACAGTAAACACATCTTTTTTGTAGCTAGAAACCATTCATACATGTTAAAGGTTCAATTTTTTAAAAAGTTACTTACATCTATATTACATCATTTTATGGCGTTAGAGCAATTGTAGCTGTGCATGCAAAATATCAATATAGCCATGGAACTGTAGACTCGGGGAATGAGCAAAGCTTTTGACACTGTCTCCCACAGTATTCTTGCCAGCAAGTTAAAGAAGTATGGGCTGGATGAATGGACTATAAGGTAGATAGAAAGCTGGCTAGATTGTCGGGCTCAACGAGTAGTGATCAATGGCTCCATGTCTAGTTGGCAGCCGGTATCAAGTGGAGTGCCCCAAGGGTCGGTCCTCGGGCCGGTTTTGTTCAATATCTTCATAAATGATCTGGAGGATGGTGTGGATTGCACCCTCAGCAAGTTTGCAGATGACACTAAACTGGGAGGAGAGGTAGATACGCTGGAGGGTAGGGATACAGAGGGCCCTAGACAAATTAGAGGGCCAAAAGAAATCTCATGAGGTTCAACAAGGACAAATGCAGAGTCCTGCACTTAGGACAGAAGAATCCCATGCACCGCTACAGACTAGAGACCGAATGGCTCGGCAGCAGTTCTGCAGAAAAGGACCTAGGGGTTACAGTGGATGAGAAGCTGGATATGAGTCAACAGTGTGCCCTTGTTGCCAAAAAGGCCAATGGCATTTTGGGATGTATATGTAGGGGCATTGCCAGCAGATGGAGGGACGTGATCGTTCCCCTCTATTCGACATTGGTGAGGCCTCATCTGGAGTACTGTGTCCAGTTTTGGACCCCACACTACAAGAAGGATGTGGAAAAATTGGAAAACGTCCAGCGGAGGGCAACAAAAATGATTAGGGGACTGGAACACATGACTTATGAGGAGAGGCTGAGGGAACTGGGATTGTTTAGTCTGCGGAAGAGAAGAATGAGGGGGGATTTGATAGCTGCTTTCAACTACCTGAAAGGGGGGTCCAAAGAGGATGGATCTAGACTGTTCTCAGTGGTAGCAGATTACAGAACAAGGAGTAATGGTCTCAAGTTGCAGTGGGGGAGGTTTAGGTTGGATATTAGGAAAAACTTTTTCACTAGGAGGGTGGTGAAACACCGGAATGTGTTACCTAGGGAGGTGGTGGAATCTCCTTCCTTAGATATTTTTAAGGTCAGGCTTGACAAAGCCCTGGCTGGGATGATTTAGTTGGGGATTGGTCCTGCTTTGAGCAGGGGGTTGGACTAGATGACCTCCTGAGGTCCCTTCCAACCCTGATATTCTATGATTCTATGAACTATCAAGCTAATTCTGGGGATATGAAAGTTATTATATCACCCAAATACTGAGAATGGGCAGTTGTTTTATCATCTCCAATTAAACTAAAATGACAGAATTTTAGTGCAGAATGTGCCCTCACACTGACACACCAGACATACAGCTGTCCAATTTGGCTATGTGTTCCCCTCTTCTTCAAGTTCAAGCAATTCCTTCTGTTAAAAATGTTATTCCGGGCAAGAAATGAGTAATGGGAAAAATACTGTAAAAGCACAGGAGAACTAAGTGAACAAAAGGAATAAATGCAAGTCTGGAAAATGCTGTAACCCTTTACAATGTTAACAATAAATCTCTTACCATTTTGCTGCTGCTCCTCCTCTCCAGCGACTGTGGAATCAGCACACTGCTCAAGTTTGCAAAGTTTCTACTGAAATCACAATGGACCATTGTGCTGAAAAGCATACCAAGAACAATGTGCATTTTACCTTACGTACCTGGCATGTTTGAAGCTGTAACGTGACAATTAATTACACACTAAAATTTGCTTTTCAGTGAGATCTTTAGAATAATGTAAAGCAGAGTTTTCCCACAAAGACTTCAGTGTTTAATGAAGGGCTGACCAAATGCTGAGCAAACAGCCACACACATCAGCAACTCTTCTATCACCGTCCTTTAAAAATAACTTTGTTTTTTAATTAACATGGTTTGCTCAAACAAACATTCACATACATTATATGGGCATGTTGAGAGGTGGACAACACCACTACAGGCCAACTCACAGTCATTGGTCTTGACTGGATGGCAAAGGAAAGTTTTCTTTTCTGTGTACAGATGGCACTTAGTCCAGCAAAATCTGCAGAATTCACATAACTGTCCTTTAACTCTCACCTCCATTTACCACCAATATTCCCAAGCATTTTGCAAGTTTTTTCTTTTTAATACACATACAACATTGGTAAATCCCCCTGCGTCGGGAACAAGACATTGGGGCACACATCAAGCTCACTATCCATTCCAACAGTAGCTAAGGAGGATGTTAAACAGTAGCTCCTAAAGTTCGACATTTTTAAAATCAGCAGATCTGAGTAACTTGCATTCAAGAATTTTTTTAAAAGACGGCTGAGGCGTTCACTAGACCATTAATGCTAATTTTCAATAATTCTTGGAACACTGGAAGAAAGCTAATTCTGTGCCAATATTTAAAAGGGATAAAACAGGACAACCTAGTTAATTATAGGCTCATCTGCCTGACACTGATCCCGGGCAAAATAATGGAGCAGCTGACATGGGACTCAAAGAATTGAAGGAGGGTAATATAATTAATGCCAATCAACATGGGTTTATGGAAAACAGATCTGCTCAAAATAAACTGATTAGGATATTACAAAATTTGATTGATAAAGGTAATAGTGTTGATGTACTATTTTTAAACCTCTGTAAGGCATTTGACTTGGTACCACACAATATTATGATTTAAAAAAATGAGAACAGTACAAAATCAACACTGCACACATATGGATTAAAAACTGGCTAGCTGACAGGTCTTAAAACATTACTGTAAACAGGGAATCATCTTCAAGCAGGTGTGTATCTAGTGGGATCCTGCCAGGATCAATTCTTGGCCATGCACTATGGAACATTTTTTATCAATGACCTGGCAGAAAACAAAATCACTAATAAAGTTTGTAGATGACATAAAAATTGGGGAAGTGGTAAACAACGAAGGGGACAGGTCACTGACACAGAGCTATCTGAATCATTTGGCAAACTGGGAACAAGCAAATGTGTTTTAATACAGCTAACTATAAATATATACATCAGGAACAAACAATGTAGGCCAGACTTGCAGTACAGAGGACTCTATTCTAGGAAGCAGTGACTCTGAAAAAGACTTGGGGGCTCCTGGTGGATAATCAGCTTTTGAAACTGTCTGCTGCAAGGACTTTCTGCTGAATGATTTGCTATTCAGCTCAATTATTGGATAATCCAAGAATTGAACAATCCTATCAAATATGTCAGAATTAGAGGGGATGGAACATACAGTGTGCTATGAAACACTACTCACTCTGCCACATAGTTTTGGATTTTCAGATATGAAAGCCCTCCAGCATACCAGAATGAAACAGCAAGTTTTTATAATATTGTGACATTCTTAGCACTTGGCTGAGGTCAGTGGGCATTGAGGGTTCTCAGCACCTCTTAAGATCAGACCTACATGATGACACACAAGCAAGGAGTAGACCAAAGACGGGTTTCAAGATTCATTCCAAGCCAGCTACAATTTCATACTCTGCTCTCATGCACCACAGCCCAGATACACATGGGAAAGTTCTACGAGGATGCAAATGAACCCTTAACTGTCAATACATTAGCAGGGTCCATGTGGGTTTATATATAAATGCACACATAAAACAGCTGTGATTAGAAAACTTGACAGACATATACAGAAGACTGCAGACATCTCTGCTGAATTATAATTGCTTTAATTGGACCTGTGTTTACTAATATGGCAAAGCTAGAGAGAATTCTTCAATCGTGCTACCATTCTATACAAAAGAATAACGCTGTGAAAACAGGCATAAATGAGTTGTAGAAATAAACAGCTTCAAGTTCATTCCCCTCCCGCGGCGTCCCCCATCTTGGAGTTGGCCATCAGGAATATTCATACAACGTAAACTCAAACAGAATATTTTGGAATGAAACATTTTCAGGATTGCGTCACAGCTCAAATGACTACGAGTGTGCCTTTAAGTTAGACACTTCAAGTGAGACCTGCCCACTGTGTTTTAGCAACTTTGGAAGAGTTACAAATGAGCCCTCAATTAACTAGGAAAAGCTGCTTCATTCTACTGCCTTCATTGGTTGAGGGAACCCTATGAATGAAGAATCTAGCCGAGATTTATTTTGAAATGTTTCTGCTTTAAAATTCTTTGGAACACAAGTGCTAGCACTTAAATTATCTTATATACTTGTCTAACAAAAGCTCACGGATACTTAATCTTGTGTTCTTTCAAACTCTACTCTTTTATGAGAGCCACCTTGAAGCCCTTAAGAACAAACTCTTGATTCTTCAGCAGCACCTGCTTGTGTTTTTCTTCAGCCCCAGAAAAACTTCTAGCATTTCTATGTTACGTATCTTCGAAAAGACAAACCAATTTTTTAAGCTATTTTTAAAGGTCAGCAAAAGTTACAAATGTTTACTAATTTCAGAAGCCTTTTGTTTTCCTGTATTTTTCAAACAGTTTTGTTCTCTACATGGGGTTCAGCAGGCCCATAGCACACCCTAGTAAACACAGCAGGTACAGTTTTCAAAAGTGCCTAAGCCCTGGTCTACACTAGGACTTTAGGTCGAATTTAGCAGCGTTAAATCGATATAAACCTGCACCCGTCCACACGATGAAGCCCTTTATTTCGACTTAAAGGGCTCTTAAAATCGATTTCCTTACTCCACCCCTGACAAGTGGATTAGCGCTTAAATCGGCCTTGCCGGGTCGAATTTGGGGTAGTGTGTACACAATTCGACGGTACTGGCCTCCGGGAGCTATCCCAGAGTGCTCCATTGTGACTGCTCTGGACAGCGCTCTCAACTCAGATGCACTGGCCAGGTAGACAGGAAAAGAACTGCTAACTTTTGAATCTCATTTCCTGTTTGGGCAGCGTAGCAAGCTTCAGGTGACCCTGCAGAGCTCATCAGCAGAGTTGACCATGATGGAGTCCCAGAATCGCAAAAAAGTTCCAGCATGGACTGAACGGGAGGTACGGGATCTGATCACTGTATGGGGAGAGGAATCCGTGCTATCAGAACTCCGTTCCAGTTTTCGAAATGCCAAAACCTTTGTCAAAATCTCCCAGGGCATGAAGGACAGAGGCCATAACAGGGATCCGAAGCAGTGCCGCGTGAAACTTAAGAAGCTGAGGCAAGCCTACCAGAAAACCAGAGAGGTGAACGGCCGCTCCGGGTCAGACCCCCAAACTTGCCGCTTCTATGATGAGCTGCATGCCATTTTAGGGGGTTCAAACACCACTACCCCAGCTGTGTTGTTTGACTCCTTCAATGGAGATGGAGGCAACACGGAAGCAGGTTTTGGGGACGAAGAAGATGATGATGAGGTTGTAGATAGCTCACAGCAAGCAAGTGGAGAAACCAGTTTTCCCGACAGCCAGGAACTGTTTCTCACCCTGGACTTGGAGCCAGTACCCCCCGAACCTACCCTCCTGGACCCAGCAGGCGGAGAAGGGACCTCCGGTGAGTGTACCTTTTAAAATACTATACATGGTTTAAAAGCAAGCATGTGAAAGGATTAATTTGCCCTGGCATTCGCGGCTCTCCTGGATGTATTCCCAAAGCCTTTGCAAAAGGTTTCTGGGGAGGGCAGCCTTATTGTGTCCTCCATGGTAGGACACTTTACCACTCCAGGCCAGTAACACATACTCAAGAATCATTGTACAACAAAGCATTGCAGTGTATGTTTGCTGGCGTTCAAACAACATCCGTTCTTTATCTCTCTGTGTTATCCTCAGGAGAGAGAGATCATTCATGGTCACCTGGTTGAAATAGGGTGCTTTTCTTCAGGGGACACTCACAGGTGCCCGTTCCTGCTGGGCTGTTTGCCTGTGGCTGAACAGAAATGTTCCCCGCTGTTAGCTACGGGGAGGGGGGAGAGTTGAGGGGGTAGCCACGCGGTGGGGGGAGGCAAAATGCGACCTTGTAACGAAAGCACATGTGCTATGTATGTAACGTAAACAGCAAGGTTTACCCTGAAAGAGTGTAGCCACTGTTTTATAAAATGTGTCTTTTTAAATACCGCTGTCCCTTTTTTTTTTCTCCACCAGCTGCATGTGTTTCAATGATCACAGGATCTTCTCCTTCCCAGAGGCTAGTGAAGATTAGAAAGAAAAAAAAATGCACTTGTGATGAAATGTTCTCTGAGCTCATGCTGTCCTCCCACACTGACAGAGCACAGACGAATGCGTGGAAGCAAATAATGTCAGAGTGCAGGAAAGCACAAAATGACCAGGAGGAGAGGTGGCGGGCTGAAGAGAGTAAGTGGCGGACTGAAGAGAGTAAGTGGCGGACTGAAGACAGGGCTGAAGCTCAAATGTGGCGGCAGCGTGATGAGAGGAGGCAGGATTCAATGCTGAAGCTGCTGGAGGATCAAACCAGTATGCTCCAGTGTATGGTTGAGCTGCAGCAAAGGCAGCTGGAGCACAGACTGCCACTACAACCCCTGTGTAACCAACCGCCCTCCTCCCCAAGTTCCATAGCCTCCACACCCAGACGCCCAAGAACTTGGTGGGGGGACCTCCGGCCAACCAGCCACTCCACCACAGAGGATTGCCCAAAAAAAAGAAGGCTGTCATTCAATAAATTTTAAAGTTGTAAACTTTTAAAGTGCTGTGTGGCATTTTCCTTCCCTCCTCCAGCACCCCTCCTGGGCTACCTTGGTAGTCATCCCCCTATTTGTGTGATGAATGAATAAAGAATGCATGAATGTGAAGCAACAATGACTTTATTGCCTCTGCGAGTGGTGATCGAAGGGAGGAGGGGAGGGTGGTTAGCTTACAGGGAAGTAGAGTGAACCAAGGGGCAGGGGGTTTCATCAAGGAGAAACAAACAGAACTTTCACACCGTAGCCTGGTCAGTCATAAAACTGGTTTTCAAAGCTTCTCTGATGTGTACCGCACCCTCCTGTGCTCTTCTAACCGCCCTGGTGTCTGGCTGCACGTAACCAGCAGCCAGGCGATTTGCCTCAACCTCTCACCCCGCCATAAACGTCTCCCCCTTACTCTCAGAGATATTGTGGAGCGCACAGCAAGCGGTAATAACAGTGGGAATATTGGTTTCGCTGAGATCTAAGTGAGTCAGTAAACTGCGCCAGCGCGCCTTTAAACGTCCAAATGCACATTCTACCACCATTCTGCACTTGCTCAGCCTGTAGTTGAACAGCTCCTGACTACTGTCCAGGCTGCCTGTGTACGGCTTCATGAGCCATGGCATTAAGGAGTAGGCTGGGTCCCCAAGGATAACTATAGTCATTTCAACATCCCCAACAGTTATTTTCTGGTCTGGGAATAAAGTCCCTTCCTGCAGCTTTTGAAACAGACCAGAGTTCCTGAAGATGCGAGCGTCATGTACCTTTCCCGACCATCCCATGTTGATGTTGGTGAAACGTCCCTTGTGATCCACCAGAGCTTGCAGCACTATTGAAAAGTACCCCTTGCGGTTTATGTACTCGCCGGCTTGGTGCTCCGGTGCCATGATAGGGATATGGGTTCCGTCTATGGCCCCACCACAGTTAGGGAATCCCATTGCAGCAAAGCCATCCACTACGACCTGCACATTTCCCAGTGTCACTACCCTTGATATCAGCAGATCTTTGATTGTGTGGGCTACTTGCATCACAGCAGCCCCCACAGTAGATTTGCCCACTCCAAATTGATTCCCAACTGACCGGTAGCTGTCTGGCGTTGCAAGCTTCCACAGGGCTATCGCCACTCGCGTCTCAACTGTGAGGGCTGCTCTCATCTTGGTATTCATGCGCTTCAGGGCAGGGGAAAGCAAGTCACAAAGTTCCATAAAAGTGCCCTTATGCATGTGAAAGTTTCGCAGCCACTGGGAATCATCCCAGACCTGCAACACTATGCGGTCCCACCAGTCTGTGCTTGTTTCCCAAGCCCAGAATCGGTGTTTCACAGCATGAACCTGCCCCATTAGCACCATGATGCATGCATTGGCAGGGCCCATGCTTTCAGAGAAATCTGTGTCCATATCCTGATCACTCACGTGACTGCGCTGATGTCGCCTCCTCGCCCGGTATCGCTCTGCCAGGTTCTGGTGCTGCATATACTGCTGGATAATGCGTGTGGTGTTTAATGTGCTCCTAATTGCCAAAGTGAGCTGAGCGGCCTCCATGCTTGCCTTGGTATGGCGTCCGCACAGAAAAAAGGCGCGGAACAATTGTCTGCCGTTGCTCTGACGGAGGGAGGGGCGACTGACCACATGGCTTACAGGGTTGGCTTACAGGGAATTAAAGTCAACAAAGGGGGTGGCTTTACATCAATGAGTATTTCAGGCAGGACTTCACGGAGGGTTCCAAAAAGAAATGGTGCACCTAAGTAATTGTTCTTTTGGAACAAGCAGGTTGGTCTGGCCTCTGATTGATACATGGCTAGATTTACCTCGCTGCACCTTCTCTGTGAATGACTGCAGTGTGACGTAGAGGAATGAGTCCCCTAGACGGGGGAGGGGGAGAAGCAAATGAGTACAAAACAAATTTGGTCTATTTCTTGTTTTGATCCACTCCATCTATCTTTTACATCTTTGGCTGGCAGCAGACAGTGCAGAAGGACTGCATGCCATCCACATCTCATGGCTGCTCGGCAGAAGACGGTGCAGTAGGACTGCTAGCCTTCCTCATCTCTTGGCTGCCTGGCAGAAGATGGTACAGTAGGACTGCTAGCAATCCGTATCGCCTGCCTGCTCACCGTAAGATGGTTCAATAGGACTGACTGCAGGACTAAAGATAATGACTTGGTCAAGTCACTCCAAATTTAGTCCCTGCGCCCATGTCTGCCCAGGCGCTTCTGGCCGATGTGGCCAGGAGCATCTCAGACATGACGATGATGGCTACCAGTCGTACTGTACCGTCTGCTGCCACAAGCCAATGGGTTGATGCTGCTGTGTAGCAATGCAGTACCACGTCTGCCAGCACCCAGGAGACATACGGTGACGGTTACCTGAGCGGGCTCCATGCTTGCCGTGGTATGGCGTCTGCACAGGTAACTCAGGAAAAAAGGCGCAAAAAGATTGTCTGCCCTTGCTTTCACAGAGGGAGGGAGGGAACGGGGGCCTGACGATATGTACCCAGAACCACCCGCGACAATGTTTTAGCCCCATCAGGCATTGGGATCTCAACCCAGAATTCCAATGGGCAGCGGAGACTGCGGGAACTGTGGGATAGCTACCCACAGTGCAACACTCCGGAAGTCGACTCTAGCCTCGGTACTGTGGAAGCACTCCGCCGAGTTAATGCACTTAATGCACTTGGAGCATTTTCTGTGGGGACACACACACTCGAATATATAAAATCGATTTCTAAAAAACTGACTTCTATAAATTCGACCTAATTTTGTTGTGTAGACATACCCTAAGGCCCACTAAAATTTTACCCAGTGTAACTATGCTGTGATTTAAAAAAAATTGAACAGCAGTTACGGACATTTAAAAGCACATACCAAGTAGGCCTAATGACTGTGTCAAAGGTTTTTAACCACAGACTGAATCTGGTTTACTGTTGACAACCTCCAGGATTGTCCTGGAGTCTCCAGGAATCAAAGATGTTATGTGATAAAAGCTCCAGGAATACAGCCAATTAAAATTGGCACCCCTATAATTCTATGCATATTCAAAGTGAACTTCTCGATGGGCTGGAATAGTGACAGCTGCTCCTGCTGCATCCCCTATCCAAATCCACATAAATTCAGGCCCAATGAGCGTTCCCGTCTATGCCAGACTAACAGAGTAGACAAAAAGGGGCTGTGCAACCTGCATGCATTCTCAGTCCCCTCTGTGCACCACAATCATGAAGCCTTGACAGCGGGAAGGGTCATTTACCTGTAATGAAAACTCTTTCCCAGTACACACTGTGGTGTATGCTGTGATTACTTATTAAATATAATGAAATAGATCCAGATAATGGTACGTGCACTTCTCTAAATAGTAACCCTGATGCAAATTCTCTCCCCTGTGCCAAGCAGAAGTATATGGACAGTCATGGTGGAAAGGTGTCCCAGGGCTGTCACAGGAGCAGAATCCTATTCCTCAGAACACTCTATAGCTGCACTAGTGTCACCCGTAACCGGGCTCAACACAGGCAAATACAGCAAGTTTGCCCATTATCTGCACTGTCACAGATCCACAGGAACCTTTTCTATTCTTCTGTCCCACCCATGCCCCATTTTTAAAGCTCCCTCTGGTGGAGGACAGGGAGTTTCTGTGACGCACCGGTGAGTGGTGTGTGCAGAGTGTCTGTGCACTGAATGTGTTCCCCATTTCCTGGACCCCATCCTCTAGGGAGTGAGACTGCTCTGGTTCTGCCGTATACCTAAAGTGGTGGGCAGGATTTGTTCCTTGAAGCACACTCCAAAGGGATGAGCTGAGTAAACTCAGAGGGTATCTATCAACATGAATCCAGATCTAAAGATACCCTGAACCTTTAGTATTTCAAAGATGCATATTTTTCCAGTTAATACTTTTCTAGTATTTCCAGTCAATACCAGCGCAATTTTAAAAACAACAAGAAGTTTCAATAACTTCAGGGATTGAAATCAGTGAGACTCACGCAATTACATTGTGAACACGTACTACTAAGTCTTAAACTTCCAGAAGCAAACAACTACTGAATAAAACCTGGAACTCCATCCTTTACTCATCCCACTGAGACCAGATGTTGCTGGGGATTCCTGACATTGGATCGTTTTATGGCATTGCCGCTGGGGCAGATTAAAGGCAACGTTTCAGTCCAAGTGACAAGCTTCCTGGCTTTTCTGGGTGTAAGTCAGATTCGTAACGTTATCTCAATGTCATTTTGTGGTTGAAAAATATTCAGTAACTCATAGCAGTGTCACGCTGAAATCCTACAGAACAGGTACTGGGCACTTTTGCTTTAAATGATTAAATGTTTTTGTGGAAGTGAATCTCACCAAAAAATGAAGTTCAGCAGAAAGTCAAAAGGAGAGTTGAGACCACAGAAATGAAAGGAACTCTACAACTATATGTTCATATTTTCCAAATATAGGATTTCACCATCAGCTCCAGTTTTAACAAGAGCAGCTTCTTTTCTGTGCTCCCTTTGGGAAAATGTTGCATTCAGTGATTTGAGCTGCAGTTTCTAATTATATTTTCATACTGTAATGCTGACTGAAATGCAAATTTGATGACAGAACAATTCAATCCTTGTAAAATAATCACAAAATTACTGTTTCTCAAACCTCAACTCTTACTCCCTGCTATTTAAGAATTTAAATTTAACAGCAGTAAGAGTAGAGCCAAAAACACACTATTTTTAACTGTTATCTGACTATAGTTGTCTGCACAGATTTCAGCTTGCTGCAAATGGTTCCTTTTGAAATGTGAATACCAGAAACATTCCAGAGTTTGGCTCTTCTACTTGAACTTGGTACAAATCACGGAGTAATCATTTACTTTGCCTTCCCAATATCATATGCATGGCATCTGGGTTTAGTTAAAAAAGCAACTGTTGATTAAAAGGCTAAATCTCCACTAAAAAGAAATGGAGTACTTGTGGCACCTTAGAGACTAATAAATGTATTTGAGCATAAGCTTTCGTGAGCTACAGCTCACTTAAATCTCCATTGTTACTCAGTTGTCACTTTAACTCTTTGTTGTTAATGTGGGTGAGAGATATTATCATGATTTATGCACAGTATGCATCCGATGAAGCGAGCTGTATCTCACGAAAGCTTATGCTCAAATAAACTGGTTAGTCTCTAAGGTGCCACAAGTACTCCTTTTCTTTTTGCGAATACAGACTAACACGGCTGTTACTCTGAAACCTATCACGATTTAGTTACTTTTAACAGGGTTGAAACTAACTTCTGCAAAAAATGTGATTTAAGGGCCTGGTGCTTTACTGGTTTTCCCGTGGTGTGATTCCACTGACTACAACACAGTTACACTGGTTTTACGGTGGTGTAACAGAGTGGAACATTGGGCCCTTAAAATGCAAGCAGGATTGGCACTCTTGAAAGGTTTTCAAATCCATATAAGAAGATTCAGAGTATTGCAAGTAGAAAGCTTTTATTAAAAAAGTGGCTTAGATTGTATTGGCAAGAATTGACTTATCTTTCTAGCCTATTTTTAGATTGTCATTGTCCATCAACTCACACAGCTCAAGGTACAGTCACTAAAACAATAAAGTTATTTCTAGAGTAATGTATCAACAATTTGAGCATGGTTTTTAATTTTACAAGTTGAATCCTGTTTTGCAATGAGCTTTATATTCCATTTTTAGCCAAGATCTCCCTTAAGGTGAAGTACTCTGATTCTACAGTAATTACCAATCAGTTCACCCTTCTTTATGGATAAAGAGACAAGACTGTAAAAAGGGATAGTCTCCTGATGTGTGCAAAGGACAAAACACGGAGAAGTGATATAAATTGTGGGTTCTCAACCACCCTCCTATACAGGAAGGGGAAGCCTGAATTTTTTTTCCCCCTGTGGGTATGGTGCATGGGATTATCACATAGATTGAGAAATCAAATTCTAAATTATGCCATCTTGTTAACGTCACAAACACAGAAGATAAATCAAGTGTTAGTCAGAAAAATGCTTCATAACATATAGGATTAACCAGATTTAAAATACTCTGTCCCTGGGAGCTGTGCACAGCATTAGGGACCTTTATCACTAGCCATCTTCCTCATTTCACATGAAGCAAGGATGTGTGCATTTCCCACAGTTTCTGCATTCTGAACTCAAGGTTGGTCTATCAAACCACCAACTTCCTCACTGTTGGATTCTTAATAGTAGATAAAAACAAGGCATTCTTCTGATGTTCATATAAGACCCAATGCTGAGAAGGACTGAGTGTCTTTAGATCCCACTGAAGTAGATGAGAGACAATAGCTCTCATCGCCTTGCAGACTTGGACAACACTTGGTTCACTCAGTTTAATCAATACTCTTGTATTTCACACCTTTTGTAATAATATTGCTAGAACCATTTTGGTCAAATGGGGAACTGTTTGTCTTCCTTCCATATATCAATCTAATCCTTTTATTAAGACTTGCTAAAGTAAAACATATCTTTAAAAGATGGAATTGATGTGCCGTTAATTAAAATAATTTTAAAATAGACCCATGAATAATTCATGTGGCAACCACCATATGAATTATTTCCCACTAAGCAGGCATTTATAATGATATTAAGCACAATATAATCTATGGGAAATTTTATTTATGCTATAAATTAATATGATTGTGCCTCTGCACTCATGGTATGGCACTAGTGAAACAATACACAAAGCTTGGTAGATAATGGTTTACATACATGGGACGGATCCTGAAAATGTGAATACAAATAATTTGTTGTCCTACTCAATGCAAGTAAGTAATTGACTGGTGTATATAATTGCTTTCAGATTCTGACCTGGTCACTATAAATGAGTCAACATATATGCCTTTTATTAAATATTTAGGGCTAGATTCTGCCACTACTTGTTGTGTAGTACCTTACTCAATGAATAAATCTCCTTGATTTCAGTGAGCCAGATTTCTGTAATCTCTCTTCATACATGGATATATGGTGAGCAATTACTCATAATAGTAGTCCAAATGGCTCACCTGTGTATGGGGTGCACAATCTAATGAAACAGGACAACAGGCAGAGTAACTATGCAGTGTGGATAAGAGTGGTATTAGAAAGTCTCCACTCCAAGGACGAACAAACTTTCATGTAAGATTTTAAATGATCATGACGTTAATAAGAATATATTAACCATATAGTATTTCAAAGTAGTTGCAACATTATAGATCTTAATTAAATTTACCTAAATAAAAAAATAGAGTGTACATAAAATCTGATGCTTTACCATTAGGTGAAATTTTTTTTTAAATGTAGTTTAAAAATATAGAATTTTTGCAGAAGATTTAAACTCCAAAGTATAGATTTAATACCAAGTACAACTGTTTTAAGATTTTAGATGCATTTATTTCTGGCGTTCTGTTTAAGCAAATTTATTCTAGACTATTCTTTTCAGAGGTGCTTTCAGTCTTAATGTCTATTGGTTCACTTTTAAAAACAATTATTAATGTTACCATACTTGAATATGTATCTGTTTCTTTATAGCTTTCAGAGTAGCAGCCGTGTTAGTCTGTATTCGCAAAAAGAAAAGGAGTACTTGTGGCACCTTAGAGACTAACCAATTTATTTGAGCATGAGCTTTCGTGAGCTACAGCTCACTTCATCGGATGCATCTATATATGTTTCTATATAGTTATCTTTCTTACTGCATTGCATTTTAAATTGTTGCGCAGCTCCTTGAGTGCTTCAGCAGAGGGGCAGGTTTAAAAAAAAATGATCAAAGTTTAAAGGTTTTATTGTTAGCTCGGGAACAGGGAAATGGTGGCACATAGACATGCTAGAATTATCAAATATATTTTTTCCAGGAAAGAACACACACGGCTTCATCTGTGATCTATTCTTAGAATTAATAATATAAATGTACCCACACACTAATGTAGCCAAAGATTTACAACTTTAAGAAGTGATGAATTCTGCTCTTGGTAACAACTTCCTTTCAAGAAACGTAATTTAAAAAAAAAGTTTCAGGAAAAAAAAAAGCCAATGTAGCATTTTACTTTTCAACTAGTACTGCATTGTTCATCCTACAACTCTTTTTTTTTAAGCTAATCTTTTCTGTTTCTCTTTGTGGGATAAAGAGTGGTTAGAATAGCTCATGTGTAGGGAAGAAAAGGGGTAGGAGCATACATTACAGTTATCTTAGTATCTTGGCATATTTCAGATTATTTCTCAGGAAGCTGTTGACCCATTCCTCCGTAAACATAATACAGTCAATCTATCACATGCCCCACGTCTCTGATAAAAGGCTTTAACATTGTATGATTGCAGCATGTGCTAGGAGCATGCATGAACACAGATGATTTAACAGAGAACTTTTGGAGTCTGGTAGCATAATGTTCCTATCAGTGTCTATTGTTGGCTTGTTAAACACATCGGGAATTAAAAAAAGAAAATAGATTCTCAGTTTAATCTGAACAAGACAGCAATTTTAAAACGTTCCAACAATACACAAAACTGTACTGATGCCTAAACCAACAAAATTCCTAACAAAATTATTTTTGTGTAACCAAGACGGAATATTTTGCTGATGTTCCTCTATATTGTTATGTAGTGGTTTAAAGTGTCAAGCAAGAACTACTTACTATATTTTATTTTCCCTTCACGGACCATTAATCCAAATTTAACTTTGCTTTGCTGTCTGCACACAGAATTAGTAGCTGGAAGCTGCTCTGCAGTTGTCTGTAGTTGCTCATCAAGGCAAACTTGCAGCCAAAACAAACCAGCAAAAAAAAAAAAAAAAAACCCCAACCACAACACGCTTTAAATATATATATATATATATATTATACAAGCGTGTTGTATAATAATATATATTATAATACCTGATTTTAGAAATGCAAGGCGTTAGTAGTCCATGCCCTGGCAGCCCCTGGGAAACAGCAGCAGCAGCAAGGGGGATAAGTCCAGCATCCACTAGATTCTCACAAGCCTTTGGCTGTGTGGACTAAACCACAGACTCTGCCTCCAGCTGACGTCAAAGTCACTGTCACATGGCCAGATGAAAGCCAAGAGAGCAGTGGTTGTCGTAGCAACCACAGCACGGCTCTGAAATTATTCCAATAGGTCATCTGCCATACTGCGTGCACATCTGAACCATCACGGGCTCCCTGACAACCCGAACACCACGAGCTCGCTTCAGTTCGCGAGGAGGAGGAGGAGGAGTCGTTGCTCGGGGCTGTTTTTGCTCATGTCCCTTTAGGAAAAGGCACTTCAGGGGAAAAAAATAATAACAGAAGAAAATAAACCCCTCCTCCCCAAACTTCACTTCGATGCCCGTCATCAGTCCGATGAAAAAAGCCCCGCTCCACCCCCGCCGCCGAGGAACCAGCAGCCGCCCTCACAGCACGTGGCGACTCGGTGTGGGCGGCGGGCCTGCAGGCTGCCCTGCACAGTCACCGGCCCGAACAGCGCCCGCACCGGGCTTTGCACAACGGGGGTGGGGGTGTGAAACGAACATACCGGGAAAGCGCACGCGGCTGCGCGGTTACTGACAGCCCCGGCCAGGGCCGGCTCTACCCTTTCTGCCGCCCCAAGCAGCGCGCCGACCTGCCGCCCCCGCCAGCGGCGGGAGGGAGGGAGAGAGGCTGCCGCAGAAGTGCCGCCGCTGCGGAAACGCCGCCAGGGCTCACGGGCCGACGGCCGCCCCGTGCACCTGCTTGGAAGGCGGCTGCCTGGAGCCCGCCCTGGCCGCGGCGCTGCCGGGCGTCAGCGGCCTCGGGGAGCCCAGCTCCGCGGTAAAGCGGGACGCGGCCGGCAGAGCCCCGCACCGAGGCAGAGCACGCACGGCAGCGGGGCTAATCAACATTGTGCGAGCCTGAATGCGACCAGCTGTAGGACCCCAGCTACGCTCCCCGCTGACATCCGAATGACTTGGGGACCCTCCCCCCCGCCATCCTGCTCCAAGCACATTGTTTAGAGAAAAGAAAGCCTGTCTTTTTCCTGCTGCTCTGGATAGATATGTCGTGGGAAGAAAACTGCCAAAAAATAAAATAAAAACCTTACAAACACGGATCCAGTCTTTACCCACCTTCTAGCGCCCTAGATACAGCACCAGACGCCGATTTTCTTAGAACTTTAGAGGACCTAAATCAGCTCTTAGTCAAATTGCCACTTTCCTTCTGTCTATACATTGCCACACATCCAGAGCTTTGTAGCTGCTGCAGAAGGGGGCAGGATGGGAGAATTTCACCTTTCCTAAGTGACAAGGAGAAAGAGGGGTTCTAACTGGAAATTATTTTTATGCTCATCTGAATAAAGGCAGATGACAGTCAGTGCAGAAGAGCAGATTAAGACAAACAAACAAAAACCCACATACACACGGGCTGCATGATCATAATTGGGGACACAATATCCTACAGAATGGTGACAGCAAATCAAACAATGGAAGTCCCTCTGAAGTTAGTTTTAGCCACCTCACATTAAGAAAGCTATAGCAGAAATGGAAGAGACCTAGGAAAGGATAACAAAAAGAGCATTAGCGGAAAGGCTTTCATCCATGTAAGGGAGAGACTACAAAAGGTTTAGTATGGGAAAGAGGAGAGCTAGAGGGGAGATGACTGAAGTAAAAAGAGTTATGAAGGGACTGTTGAAAACTGACCAGCCCTCCTTTTCACTCTGTTACAGAACAAGACAACTTGATAAAATTAAAGGACACTAATCTTTAGAACATAAAAAAAAAAAACCCAAAACCAACTATTTTATTCAGTTTTTAGTGAACGTATTAAGTTCTCTTCTGGAAGAGGTTATCAGCTATTCAAATACTGTGGTTAGATTTAAAATACACCCAAATAATTTCACTGCCAGAAATATTTGTGCAATAGCGATTGAAGCTGAGATAACAGTGAGTAATCAAATTTCATGCTTCAGGGCATACAATCATTGCCTGCACCAGCTAGAGAAGAATCCCTTGCCAAGAACAACAGTATGGCACAACTACTAGATGCCTTCTCAAGGAGATATTGCCTTCCTTTTCAGCAGCTACCATTAGCCACTACCAGCACCAGGAGATGAGGCTGATCCAGTATCAAGGTGCTCCCTGGTGCTAAGGGGACCAAAATTCAGGGGGGGGGGGGTTCTCCACCTTTTCCTACATGATCTTAGGCAAGTAATTTAGTTTCTCTCTCCCTCAGTTCCTCACCTGTAAAATGAGATAAGAGCACTTCCCTATCTCATGGGGGTGTTGTGAGGATAAATAGAAAAAAGACAGGTGCTCAGATGTAAATTTTTAAAAAAAAACTAAAATGTTAAAATTATATAATACACAGGTTAAGAAAAGAGTGTCTGTACATCTGGGTGTAGTGTTTAGATTATCCAAAAGTACAAAATCTGGTTTAAAAGCCCTAAACTACTTATAGTAGAGAATCTGCAATAACCCAAATTTAGGTGAATAAATTTAACAATACAGTTTAGGAATTAGAATCTGAATACTCGGGTACATCACTCATGAAAAGTTATACAGAAAGTTAGTTGTAGAAAGCAAATATAGGAATGAGTATAGATTGTCCCTCAGTAACTGAGCATTTAGGATAGGTTGTCCCTTAGTAGATATAATCCATCAGAGAAGTATTTCAGTTACTTTCCAATTTCCCTTCTCATCAGCACTCCAGCTCATCTCTCCTGGTATTGTCGATATCCAGTGATGTGTTCTATGTAGATGTCCCTTGACCACCTGATGGCACCTGACACTATGAGTTGCCACATCAGCCGAGTGTAGTGTTGACCGATTCCACATTCTCTCAACACTCGCTTGTTATTGGGGCCCCATTTGCCCAGGGCGTCAACGATCAGAGCGTGAATTTGAATCTCTTGCCCCTAGCTCTCAAGGTGGCGGCCAGAGGGGCATATTTCTCCAGCTTTCAAGATCAGGTGTCATGGTAAGCCGGGGTCCTGTTTTCAAAGGGAACTGTGACGTCCACCAGGATGATCTTCTTCCGTTCCTTGTTGGTGGTGACGATGTCCGGTCGCAGTTGGCTGTCCGTTCTGGGGATGGTGGAGCTCACAGCCACCTTTCCCATGGGTGGCGGGATGGCTCTGACTAGGTGATCTTGGATGGCGTTGTACCGCAGCTCCTAGGCTCTGGAATGGGCCTTGCAGCTACACAGGACGTGGGGTAGCATCTCGTTGGCATAGCTACACTTCCTGTATCGCTTGTCCCAATTCCCGTGGCGGACGGCTCCATTCAGCGGGACACAGTTGAGCCGGGGCCTGTGGATGAATCTCCAGTCAGCAAATTGGGTGAAGCTGCACCCAGGGAGGAAGTGGTTGCTGGCATCCCACTTGCACATCACCGCAAAGGCCTTGCTCTGGTCCAGCTTCCGTTTCAGGTTTTTCACGTAGTGGCAGCAGATGGTATCCTTCAGCATCCTCTCCAGCATGGTTCTAGCTCTTGGAGTGATGATTGTGTGCTCCGTGTTCTTCACCTCTGGCACTAGGACTCCCAGTCCTGGCGTTCCTCGCACCATGTTCAGTGGCAGCCGATACACTTCTCCAATCATCACGTGGCATTGTCGTCTGAGACGTGGAAGATAGAGGTTGTTCTTTAATTCTATCAGCAAAAGCCCTGAATAGTCTGAGCATGTTCCTATATGATTTTGTTGTCTTGACATAAAAAGAAAGTGCCCCCACTGCATCTAGTGGTTGAAGTTTAGCTGCCCCGGGGGTTGAACAAGGTTTGGGAAAGAAAATTGGGAGGTGATGGATTGACTGATATGGAACTGAGACAACCTCGGGCAGAAACTAGGGGGGGTGTTGGGGGAGGCCTAAGAGTGACTCTGTCCTTATGAAACAGTTATAAATGGGCTAGGAAGGGTTAGATTTTTATTGATAAACATCAGTAAACATCAATTTCATTGTACACACACAAATCCATGAAAAAATATTTCCATTGACAGCAATCAAAATTTACAAATAGGCAAGGTAAGAAAAATTCTTCATAAGAACTTCTTAGAGTGAAAATCTAGTGATTTGGATTTCTGAATTAGGCTTATTAAAAATGGACTAGCAAATGAATAGTAAAAGTAGGTATGATTGGTTGATGATTTGTTGATTTAAGGATATTTAATTGTGTATTATATATTTTGTATACATTTGCTTTTTATAGGTGATGCTGACCACTTGTGTTTTAACAGTTTATTAAACTTTAAATCTCAATGTCTGTCATTAAATAAATGTCTGACTTCTACCACCATAATTTCCCACAACTGTGAAAATTTAAAAATATATAAAAATCTTAAAAAAGGCTTAAAATAAACATCAATTACATCCACTGAAATTATATTAAAAAATAATAATTCTGCCAAATCTATTTATAAGGAGGACCTGCCATGAAGGCCTGAATCTCACCTGCCCTTTGAGCTGATGTAATGGCTACCAGAAAGGCAGTCTTCACTGATGGGTGGTACAATGAATAGGGTGCTAAGGGCTCAAAGTGGGGACCCATCACCCTGAAAATATATCGAGGTCCCAAGCAGGAAGGGACTCCCAAAGTAAGTCAAAAATTTGTACGAGAACCTTAAGGAATCTTGCCATTGTATGCTCCTAGATAGGAGGGTGATGCTAGATGGATCCTTATGGAGCTGATGGAAAGCCCAGAATGTTTCAGGGCTAGCAAATAGTCCAATATTGCTGAAACTGGTGATGTCACGGGAGAAAACTGGTGCAGAGATGCCCAAATAGAAAACTTCTTCCATTTAGCTTTGTAAGTAACTCTGGTTGAAGGTTTCCTGCTTTGGAGCAGAATGCTCTGAACCTCTGTTGAACAGCTTCTTTTGGTGGGCATCATCCAGCCAAGATCCAGGCTGTCAGCTGTAATGAAGCTGGGTCCGAGCGTAGGATCTGACTGTTGTTCTGTGAGACTTTGTCAGCTTCAGCCAAAAGGGTGATGGGGGGCTGTATTGCAAGGGTCATCAGATCTGAGTATCCAAACTGCCTAGCTCATGCTGGGGCTATCAGAATCATCAGTCCTGCATGTTGCTTCAGTGTCCTTGTTATCATGAGAGTCAGTGGAAAGGCATATATCAGTCGTGGTGTCCAGGGGATCAGAAAGGCATCTATCAGGGAGCCTGGACTGGAGCCCCCTCTGGAACAGAGCATCTGATATTTGTTGTTCTGGTCTGCGGCAAACAAATCTATTTCTGTGAATTCCCACTTGTGAAAGATGTTCTGTAGCACTGAGTTGGAGAACTGCATGCTAAATTGATCTGACAAGTTGTTCTGAAGGCTGGGAAGGTGCAGAACCACCAGTGTGAATTGGTTT